TCTTGCAACCAACATCTCCTGAAGTCAGAGCAAAAATGCTATTTCTGGTACATCACAAAAGCTGCAAAGAGCCAAGAGTTACAAGGAAATGAAGGTTTTACAACCTGTATTTGTCACACACGGGAAATGTACAAATATCTTTCTATATCCATAAATACAACTTCGTATCATCATTTTCATGAGAATAGAGCTTGATAAGGCACCAGGATCTCAGCACACCCACCCAATAGGGACAAGTTATGTCTGGAGTGAAGGGTGCCTGGATGCTTAAGTGGGGCAGCATTAGGCAGGGAGGCCAGCAAGGCAGGCAGGGCAAGCCTCCCTGATCTAGGATCTTCAGGGAAGACGTCGTTCTACGTAAGCGAATTTTCCACATAACTGTCACTTACCCTTTTAAGCACCAAAAATCTTTCCAAAGAATTTTTAACTATTTGAAATGAAAATCTTTCTCAAATGGATTACACACTTCCATGCCTTCTTAAACAGAGAATACTGAACATAAAATGTAACCTTTTCTTGATGACGCAGGATCAGCATTGTGAAAATCAATTATTGTACTCTCCTTAGATTCAGCCAGGCTTGCAGGTTTGATTAGATCAGAGGTACCGGTTCGTGTAGCTTTACCCAGCGTCCTCAGAGGGTGCTGCCCTGCCAGAGTCAGTGTTTATATTTATGTGTATTTCTCTCTCCATAGCTGTCAAGCCTGCACGTGCTACCTCAGCACTGTTCTCAGGGTGCCTGTTTCCAGAAATGCCCTTCCCTCTTTTCATTGTGTTGTTTCTAGTTTTTGAAGGGTTGGGTTTGGCAGAATTGTAGAACAAATGGGAGGGTATGTTCATTCTGACTATGGGACTTCCTTTAGCATATGCACTCTGAGATATAAATTTGGCTACACCATTGCCTTTGCAAATGTGTTCTTTTCCTAACTCAGCTGCCTCACAGTTTCTGGTCTCATTTGAATGGGAGGGCATGGGTTTGGCAGCAAGTCATGTTGGGACTAAGAGCTTGTTCCTGTCATTTACCAGTTATATGCCCTTGTGCAAGTTGCTCAATTTCTACAGTTTCAATTTCACCACCTGAAAAGTTTGCATGAAAATCTTGAACCCATGCGGTTGATCTGAGGATGGAAGAAAAAATTTAGTCTGAACTCCTTGTGCTATGCCTGGTACATAATAGGTATTCAACAAAAACTGGTGCCCTTATTCATAGCCTCCATTGCAGCAGGGAACATCCAAAATGTGTTGCATAATGGGAAACAAGCACAAAGGGAAACTTTATTTCTATTTGAACAATGTAAATAGAATAATTGTAATAATTATGTAGTAACAGAATTGATTAGAAAACTCATACACGTAGATAATCTCATCCCCTGAAGATGGCTACTTTAACATTCAGATGTGAATCCTTCCAGACATTCTTCCATGTGTATATTCTCAAAGGCACAAGGCAGACAGACCATATGTTTGTGCATGAGGGTCTTCATTAATCCTCTTTTCTCCCTGTGTTCTGGATCAAAAGGAGGGAGATAAAGGAGGATACTGGGTATGTAAGCTCAGTGTCTACTTTCTTCTGGTGAGCTGGCTTGGAGAATGTAGCATGAACCATTTTGTCCTCTTGGCTCCCACCTCCGGACCAGTCACCGCTTGTGGGGCACCAGAGCACTCATTTACCCAGATAGTCCCATAAAGATGTGACCTAGCTTCACACTTTCACTGCCAGGACAGCAGCCACCTGGTCCCCCATGCATGTGAGCTTACCTTCTGGAAAAGCAGGAATGGGAAAAACAATAAACATTTGTAGTCCCATGGATTCAACAGCCAGCGCCCAGGGCATACACCTACAGGAATGTTTTCCTGGTCCTTATTATTACTAAGCTACTCCACTCCCTTCCTAAGGGGAAGCCCAAGGACAGAAGCGGAGGAGGGTAGAGGCCATCTCCTCCTTACCTATCTAAGATTCTGGAAGAATTTTGTGCAAGTATTTTCTTTATCAGATGAATCCTTGGTCTATGCTGGGAAGATTTCCGACCCTGTGATACTCTTTTACAACCTGTATTTGTCACACACGGGAAATGTACAAATATCTTTCTATATCCATAAATACAACTTTGTATCATCATTTTCATTAACTATAGAATATTTTGTTATATGGATGTACTCCAATGAACAAATCTCCTATTTGGACATGTAGATTGTTTCTACTTTTTTCCCGTTATTACACATAATGCTGAATAACAGTTTTGCACTTAGATCTTTGTGAACATAACTGATTATATCCTCAGGACAAATTCCTTGAGGTGCCATTTGCAGGGCAGCGAGTATGCATATATTTAAGACTCTTGCCGCATTGAATTCTGCAATGCATCAAGGTTGTACCAATTTATACTCCCAACAACACTATGAGTCTGAGTGCCCATTTCCCAGCAATAGATACCATTATCTTCCTTCATCTTTGGCAATGTGGTAAGTGCAAAGGTGTGGAGTCAAAGATGATTATAAGTAGTTTTGTTGTTAATTTTTAAAACTGTGCAGCCTGATTTCCATAGCCTATTGGCTATTGCTAACTAGTAGCCAGGGCAAGTAGACACTATGAAAAATTATAAATTGTGGCTGCAGGTGCATTTAAATCAATACGAGAATGTGGGGGATGCCTTGTGGCCTTAGATTCTCCTATATACTATGCACAATAGTTAATAAACAGATACAATATAAGAAGGCAAAATGAAAGAAAATAAAGAAATATTTAAATGGCCAATAATGACTGAGATTTCTTATGTTTGAGGATATGTGTGGGGTGTGCTACTGGAATTATCTCTAACCCAGACAACAGATCTGCACCATAAGAGTCATTGTCCCCATCTGATATTTCAGGAAACAGAACCTCAGAGAGAATAAGATGCTTTTTTAATGCCACACACAGAGGGGCAGATCTAACTCTTGCAACCAACATCTCCTGAAGTCAGAGCAAAAATGCTATTTCTGGTACATCACAAAAGCTGCAAAGAGCCAAGAGTTACAAGGAAATGAAGGAGTCAGAAAAAACATGATTTTGTATAAATTTCCTTATTGTGCAGGAAAATGGAAGGAGAGAGAAGCACACCCAGCACTGTCTCTGTGAAGGCCACAGAGTTGTCAGGGTTGCCTGAGCTGGGCACATTCTTGGGTAGCATCAGGGTTTGCATCATCCTGGCCTAGACACAGCAGCCTCCATGGGTCACACACCCCTTCACAGGAAGGCCTGTGTATCCCTACACAGCATCCCCAGAGCCTCCTTCTGCCTGCTCTCAGCTCCAGCAAGAGCTCTGATTCCATTCATTTAGCGGCAGCAGAGGGAGAAGTAGGAGACAGGCAGGATAAGGTCACGCATGGGTCACCACTGGGCCTTTTTCATTCATTTAGCGACTGAACCATGACACTGTCATTTTATGACAGTCTTCTTGGATATATTTGCCTCAGAACTACAGGTAAGTGCCCACCAATGGAATGCATCCTCCATCTCTCTAGCTGAAGTTTTATACTAGAAACTCTCTCCAATGTCTCACCAGGACATCCGTATCCTAGGGAAAGTGTCTTTGTGATTCTCATGGATCTTTGTCGTTCCCCTCACTCTGCTTGCTGCTTTCTACTCTGATCTTTCTGCAGGGCCAGAGGCCCTGGGCTACAGTGCAGCTTCCAGTACAGAGCCCAAGGTGGGAGAATCACTACAGTCTGCCAGTACTCACAGTACCTCGTCATGGGGGAGGAGGCGGCCACTTATCCCCACAGAAAAAGGCTTCCTTGGTTGAGCCCAGACCTTTTCTCTCTTGTCAGCACCTTCATAGGCATTTTGCCTGAGACTAGAGTCCTGAAGGTGACATGTGATGAGCACACGAAATGAAACAGGAGAACAGAAAAATAAATATCAAAGCCGTAATATGGAAGATTCTTTAATCACGTGGCCAATTAGCTTGATAACCCATAACTTTCCCCTGGAAGGAGGACAAGATGGAGAGGGACATAGGCAAGTGACTGCGTGGGGAAACTGAGTGCCCAGATCTCTGCTGGGAATGGGCATTGGAAGGCCTGCCTATCCCACAATTCTTTTGCAATAGTCTCTATGGTGCCTTGAAAGTCCCCCACTGGATTCAGTCATTGGGGTGTCAGTATCCAGTGTAGGCATCCTCTTGAACTCAGCACTCCATGTAATGCAAGTCTATTTGTGGAAACCCTTTTCAGTAAAGCCGTGAGCTCTCGCAGGCAGAGGTAAGAAGTCCGTATTGAAACACGTGAAAGCACTGGAAATTCAAGACTCCGTTACTTCAAAATCTAACAGCTGTAGGACAGCCTGGTCTGGAATTTACTTTGGTTTTTCGGAACAGAAAGCATTTGCGGAGCAAATCAGACATGCAAGCAAGATTGCCATGAGGATTGTGTAAGTTCTTCAGGAGCCCTAAGAATCCAGAGCCCTACAGCACCACAGAACCTCTGTTTACCTACCAGTAATGTGCTGGTTAAAAGCCATTCCTATTAATTCATTCGTGCAGCTGAGAGTGGTTTCTACCTGCAGTCAATTGCTTTACCTAGTTATGTTACAATAGAATTTAAAGGGACAGCATACTATTTCTTTTAAAGTATTTTAAAATTCTGAATTTTTTTATTTTTCTTTAATTACTGATACTTTAGTGAGCATACAGCTAACTGACTATATATACCATACATAATAATCTAGACTGCATAATATGTACTTTGTATGGATACATATATATATATAATATATATGATATATATACTATATAGTACATGCTATGCCATATTTGTCCATAATTGTATATACATTCATCGCATACTCTTTATGTGTCCAAGCAGCTCTGTAAGTACACTTGTGCATATTAATTCTGTTTATTTGCAACATTCACCTTCCCATGTGCAGAAAATTA